CCGAATTCTTTAAAAATTCTTTACGATTCAGAATACTCTGAAAAAATTGTTTGCAGGGATAGTACATATGGATAAGACTGTACAGTAAAATGAATCGTTATACGCAGTTAATTTGTTTTTAATAATCTAGTTGTGTTTTAGTTTTACTAAAAGTTATGTTAACTATGTTTTTAAAAAATTTGACATTGAAAACAAATATTAAAACTCAAAAAAATTTTTGGTAGGTTTTGGTTGGTTATGGTATGAAATTTTGGTAGGAAAAAAAATTTGTCTGTGGCAACGCTGAAATACACAAACAATTCTTTTCCGAGTTAACTACACTCTAAACAATACAATTTAAGCATATTCAAAAAGGTAACCAGTTTCCCCTCTTGATGTATGCAAATATGCACACCATGTTAATCAATTTAAATACGGCTTTTTAACTTTAGCTTACCATATGTGTGGCGTAGAACAAATTTGAAATTGGTTTGTTGAATTCTAAACACTTAAGGCCAAATTCACAGTGCGTAGTTAACTCAGAATCGGCAGTTAACTACAGATTTTCTGTACAGCGCTGTGCATTCGGCCCTTAGGGCCATTAATTTAACTATTTCAAAGTATAGTTAAAGCATTAGTTAAACTTAACTACACAAATTTCACAATTACACAGCTTACACATAAAATATTTAAAATTTACTCTAAAAGTGTTTGTTTAAATTAACGCATATTAAGAGAGGTTACCAGTTTCCTCTCCCAATGTGTCCAAATTTAGACACCGTGTTAATAAAATTAAACACTGCCGGTTTACTTTTACATACCAAATTTGTCGCGTAGAGCAAAATTACACATAAAATGTACTTAATTTTTATTTTTAGTAGGGAATGTATTTTTGCGTTAAACACGCTTCAATTTTAAACATTTCGTGTGTAATATCCCTGCAAAAAATTGTGCGACTAATCTCTAAAGAGAGTATTCCGAGATTACTCTCAATCGGGTACAATTGGGCATTAATTAGGCCCAACTATTCTCATACGGGTACTAATGGAGGTAAATTAGTCTAGACTCATCCCTTTTGGGTATAATTGGAGATCAATTAGTCCCAACTCATCTCTAACGGGTACTATTAACGATTTAATGATATGTACGCACTTAGTCAATGAAATTTCATGTGCGGCGTTGGCACACAGATAGAGTATTCGCCTAACAAAACTGAGCACCCCGGTTCGAATCTCAGCTGGCTCAAATTTTTATTTTTATTTTTTAAAAGTGACTAGTCGCTTTTTATACCCATTTGGGTATAAAGGTGAACAATTAGTCTCTTCATAGGACATGCTCGAACAAAAGCGATCCGTTCATTCCATATAAAGAGATCAAAAGTGGTATTAGTCGCATGCTCCTTTGCGATTGCTCCCGGAGTCATCCCGGATTAGTCCCATTTTTTGCAGGGATACATCTCATGTTCAAAATCCAGTCTTGAACATCTTATGCGTATACTTACACATACACAGCTCCACAAAAAAAAATTCTTCCTGTTACCAGACCATTTTTTTATGTTTTTTTGATTACTGAATTTGATTCAGTGATCAAAAAAACATATAAAAATAATGGTACGCTGACAGGAAAAATTTATTTTAATTTTTTTGTGGAGCGGTGTAATTGACTTGAGGTCGATAAATAAACGCAGATCTAATTCCGATTGCAGGCATCGTTTCTATTCGCGCGGCCGCTACTATTCTCCGATTACAGGCCATTGCCCTTGCGGCTCTCGTTTGTCTAGACAAATTTCTTTTAGCTTTAGGCATTTTTAAACACTTCGCACTATTCTGTTATTTTAAAGATTTTTTTTTTATATTTAGTAACGAAATTCCACTTTGTATAAGCCAAAAAACTCAGCCTTTAACGCACTTGCTAATTTATCAACTTCGCGAAAACAGTGTGCAGAATTCATATAAAGCCCAACGAATGGACATACATATGTACATCATTGATTTGCAGTTGTTTGTGCATGCCACTACAGCATTGGAAAAATGGAATTCGGCTAGACACAGGCAGGATTCCCGTAAAAAACAGGGATAAATTACTTTACCATATCAATTCTAATTTGAACATAGTTATGTACATATGTATGTATGCATGTATTCACGTGTAAGGCACGGTGCACATTAGAGCGATACGATATGCGATGCGATATGCGATACGATATGAATGCGACATCGGCATGCTGAGTACGTGGGAATTGGTAGGAAGCGATGAAAACTGTGGACACGAATTTCGATACGATACGATACCATATCGATACTTTTGGCATTCGGTACCGATATTTTCTACTCGATAGTTTTAAAACGATATTTTTTGGAATCGAGTACCAGAACCCTAGTATCGTATCGAATGTAATAAACTCACTGTTCAATATTATTGCATAGTCTTTTACTTTCCTACTAACTTTGTGAGGGTAAGGTACCAACAGAATATACCACTGGGATGTTCGCGTCTCGAACCACGCGCAGGGCTATGTATTACGCTCGCTTCGCTGATAATGAGATGATGGCCCTTATTATGAGCTGCATTCGATTTTCGATCTTCGCTGGCTATCGA